CTCAGGATAACTTCCATACCTTTCTCCCTTTTGAAAATCTACCACCGAACCCGGACAAAAGGTGCCATGTCGAAGGCAAGCAATGGCTCCAATTCCAGTAGCGTCAAAACCTCGGTGAAATACATTCTTGTTGTTGATAGCATTGTGCTCATGACATGTCCTCGGCTGAAAGATTCAGACACCGGCCGAGTCGCTCGAAGGATAAAAACTTACATCATTATCTTCAATCGCCTCCCGAAGGTGGCTCAAATAAGGTCCTCTTTGCGTCATGAAACTATCCCCATTTTTAAGCCAAACATCGTCTTTGGGCCGTGCCTGTTTTTGGTGGGCTGCTGTGAAATTGCCATCGGCTACAAATCCTCTGGTATACTTCCAGTTAGTAGGATCATTGGGGTTTTTGTTCCAGTCATCAGGAAGGTTGACTCCTGGTTGTGGGCAGGTAGGGCAAAAAAAACCCATCTCCCCCGGCGTCGGAGCCTTACCTTTGTGTCCAAATCCAAAAGTAGCCAGTTCGGTAAGATTACGGTATTGTCTACCAACCCTTATTAACTCGTGATACCGGTTCTGTCAAACGTTTTGAGATGGGAGTATACCTCAGTACTTGAACAACATACCGGAATGGAATTAGGAAATGCAAAGTTGGTGATCCTTCTCAATTTGGAGTAGTAGTGGGTGGCCGATGTTTTACATTCCAGGTTTTCCAGCAGGTAGTCATTGAGGAGTTGGAAGGTAAATACGGTCTGGCAAGACTTGTAGGTGGATGGGTACAACCCAACCCGGAACAACTGTATGTCCTCAGCTGCTGCACCAGAACATCCACAGAAGACGATAGGCAGGTGATGCACACCGGAAGTATGGACGATGGTCATCACCCGGCCACCATTGTAAATATGGTCCGTTGGTTTTGGATCGGCCGAAGTGCTGGTAAGGTCTTCCATGTCAAACCATTCCTCTTCGTCAATGTCAAGGTCGGCACTCAAGTTGCTGCTTCCATTCGGGCACCGATCACCTTCGTGACCAAGTCGAATAACCAAACCCACTTTCCACAGCCAGCTCGGCTCATAAAAGGTGCTGGTCCAACGTTCAATCTGGTGGAAAGGGTCCCTGCAGTGGGATGTTCGGAAACATTCTGCA